AATCTCTTAGCCGCCATCACTGGTCTATCCAGCTCAGGATTACCTTCTCTCCCAAGATCCCACAGGCCTTCCTAGAGAGGCTTCTGGAGAGCAAAGCTGACATTTCCATCATGAAGGACACATCAGTCTCTGTTTTGATTGATTGATTCTATTTCTGCACCTAAACCAGTTAGGAGCTGCCTTTCCAGATTGGATCAAGCCCAGCCTTGTGGCTCTGGGTACTTCCAGATGGGGCTTAATATTGCAAATAGGTATTTGGCAACGGATAGACACATATTATTATATATTTTGGGGTACCTCTGTAAACCCTATGAATTAATAAATGGTAAGATTTCAATTATTTTGACATTTAAGATTGGAGACCAGCAGAATCCTTTGGCCTGGGGAGACAGATGTTGCCAAGGCGATGGAGTGTGTGTTTGAAGTGACAGGAAAGGGGAGTTTTTTGGTCTGGTGTTCTGGGAGGACGAAGAAGGAAGACTGGGATCCATCTCGGGCAGGCTGGCTGAAGGCTGGCGGAGTGAGATGCCTTGTACTCCAGGGCTGCACTGCTGTGAGGGACAAGCCCCTCTAGAAAGGATTGTGCTGTAAGATCTGGACTCTCTCCATGCAGACTGAAGGTGTAAATAGGTGAATAAATCATATTTATTAAAGCAACAACAGTCTCTGCTGTGTCTTCAGTTCCCTGAAGGAGTACAGACCCTGGGACTCCCTGGATTCTTGCTACAACTCGGCGGAATGGGGGCGGCACAGCCCTCCTCCCTGGTGGAAAATATATATAATACTCCCAAAATCTGGTTTAGCATAATATCCCCCTACTATCTGGAGCAAAATCAGGATTCTGTTCTTGAAGGGAGGGGCTCTTCATAGAAAGAAAGAAAGAAAAAACCAAGCTGGGAAGCTCCAGCAAAGAGATTGTCTTGTTTTCGAGAAGCAGGCTGACACAAACAGCAGCAATCGTCCTAAAATGACTGCCACGTAGTTTTAACATTATTGATTATTCCTCCTCCTATTTTATATTTTAAGAAAATAATTGGTTAGCACACTCGTTTTGTCTTGCGTTATCTTGCATTTCCACAGGCTTATTATCCTCAAATGACAAAATAATTGCTAGCGCTTTAGTCGTCCATCCCCCCCTTAAATCAATTTGCTTTCAAATTCCAGCTTGGGAAGGGTTGTGCGGCAAAGCTACAGACATCAGCTTCCTCCTCCAAGCGTGAGTCCTTGCACGCACGCGCACACACACACACACACACACACACACACACACACACACACACACACACACACACACACACAGAACATACGGTGGCCATGTGTCCTCCATTGCAGAAGGCAGTTCTCTTTCTGATGACATCCTCAGTGTGAAGGGCTCTCTGATCCAAGTTGACTTTTTCCAACATTTATTCATAAAAATATTTATAAAAATATCAGTGGGTTACAATATTTGTGTATAAAAGCATACAATAGGAACCATATTTTAAACATTAAAACCAGAAATCAGCTACAGTAACCATTGGGAAAATATGTATTCTTAACTACTTGCATAAACCTGATGGAACAGGAACGTTTTCCACCAGCATTTATAAGTTGGACTGGACGGTGCCAGTGGCAGAGAGTTCCACAGGACTATGCCAATGTCACTAAAGGCTCCATTTCTTGTTGCCTTTAAGCAGAGAAATGACCGACAAGGCCCCAGCAGATAATCTCAGTGATCAAGATGGAATACAATAAGGTTACCATATTTCAAAAAGTAAACACCAGGAAACCCAAAAAATTGTTGAGGTTGTTGTTGTTGTTTTTAAAAGACCCTAAAGTTGTTACGAAAACACACGGTTTTTTTCAATTGACTTGCCTAAGATCCAAGACAAAGCACCGCCTTTTGGAAATCCCCCCCGGATGTCAATTCCATCCTTGAAATCCTGGTAATGTCCAGGAAAATTCAGACATATGTCAGCCCTGGAATACAAGGATTCAAGAAAGAACCTTGTGGACCGTTGATTATGACATTAACTCATGAGGACTAGTGTCTTTGTCATTGGATGCAAAGTGTTGCCGGCAGGGAGGGGCCTTCCAGATGGCTGCTTATTGTGGGATGGATGCTGCAATGTTTTCTGAGTCTGCACGGCGATGTCTGACGTAGGCATCCATTCCTCATTTACCCTTTCCAACAAAAAATCCAGAAAGTTATTAGCATTGATTTCAGTTTAGGCAGGACCTTTGCAATGATGAGATCAGCTTCTGGCTCTCTTGGCCCCAGTGCGTTCTGGGGGGTGGGAGCCGGTTGGGGGTGGAGTTGAGCAGGTGGGTGGCGTAGCTGGTTGTAGTGAACATGTCTTTCGGCGATGCCTTCTGCCCTTACAGCAGCGGCTGGGTCATCACCTCCCACCTGTGGTTTGTAACTACTTGGTGATATAGCCCCCACCTCTTGGGTAAGAGAGCGGTGAAGAGAGATAAGAATAAGAATAAGAATAAGAATAAGAATTTATTATTTGTACCCCACCCATCTGGTTAGGTTTCCCCAGCCACTTTGGGCGGCTTCCAACAAAGATTAAAAATACATTAAAATGTCACACATTTAAAACTTCCCTGAACAGGGCTGCCTTCAGATGTCTTCTAAATGTCAGTTGTTTATTTCCTTGACATCTGATGGGGTTCCACAAGGCAGGCGCCACTATCAAGAAAGCCCTCTGCCTGGTTCCCTGTAACTTGGCTTCTCACAGTGAGGGAACCACCAGAAGGCCCACAGCGATGGACCTCAGCATCTGGGCTGGATGATGGGGGTGGAGACGCTCCTACAGGTATACAGGACCAAAGCCGTTTAGGGCTTTCAAGGTCAGCACCAACACTTTGAATTGTGCTCGGAAATGTACTGGGAGCCATTGTAGGTCTTTCAGGACCGGTGTTATATGGTCTCGGCAGCCACTCCCAGTCACCAGTCTAGCTGCCGCATTCTGGATTAATTGCAGTTTCCGAGTCACCTTCAAAGGTAGCCCCACGTAGAGCGCTTGGCAGTAGTCCAAGCAAGTAGTCCAATACAAAAACAAACAAACCCAACTATCAAAACAAACCAAAACAAAAACCCTGCACCTAACCCTTAGGTTACTTGCTATTCAGCCATTTTTTCTGGTCCTGCACATGCTTTCATTACAATACCTCTTAAACTGGTTTTCTTTCCCTGGCTGTCCTTCCAGCTATGGGATCTGGCCACACAGTTTCTTTAAGAAGCTGGGGGTTCCTGGCCCAAGGCCTTTGCCTTTCACCTGGACCTTTCTTGAATACCGGTAAGTGAGTGTTCTGCAGCCAGTCTTGTGACAGTCGCCCTGTGGCAAGGGAGAGCAGCTGGCTTTGTGAGTTGATGAAACGTCAACTAGGATTTCTGCAAATTGATGTTTTCTCTGATTCAGCGCTAAAGAGTGCATTTTCCTGGAAGAAGTGGTGAGGTAAACAGTTGGAGGATGGATGGCGGCTAACAGATTGAGGTTGAATCCTGACAATACAGAAGTACTGTTTTGGAGGGACAGGGGGCAGTTGAGTTTATTCACTGCTGCTGAATAAACTAAACTTCACCCTGTCATCTACTGCCTTCATAGACTTCTTTATTGATGCTGTCAAAAAAATCAAGAAGGACCGTCAAAAGAATCAGACCCAGTCAGTATGGCCCCTTCCTGGACATCGCATGTGAAAGGTCAAGTGTGTGATTGACACTCCATTCTGTCCTGCTAACCCTTGCCTCTGTCTCTGTTCCTTTGCAGGTCAGAGTTGACTTTCTGCAGCTCATGGTGGACTCCCAGATCTCAGGCAACGTCTCCAGTGAAACAAGTTCCTATAAAGGTAAATAGACAGGTGGCACCTCCAAACAGTGGCTGTGTTTGCAGGATGTTGGGCTAGCTGAGTCCCATTTGGTGTGATCCACCAGACTCTGATTGGGTTTCTAATGATTTATATCCCTCTGTTGAAGGCCACTCCCACCTACAAAGCTGTCCTTCAGTTGGAGTATCTGGACTTAAAGCATATCCAAAGCACATTTACACTCCTCAAAGAAGTCTGGGCACTATCATTTGTCCAACATTGCTGAGAATCTTAACTCTCTGAGAGGTAAAAAAAATCAACAACTACAGTGCCGCCTCGGTGGGACAAAAAGTGCTTCTAATGTGCTCTCAAGGTGATGTGTGTGCGCAACTTATGTGACCTGCTCCCTCAGTTTCCATATTATGCTCAGCAGTGACCTGGAGGAGACTTTGGAGAGGGAAGTGGGAGAGAAGGGGAAAGAGCCAGTGGGGTGCAGTGGTTAGAGTGCCAGACTAGGACCTGGGAGAGACGGGGGTTCAAATCCCGCCGCACAACCACACTGGAGCTCACTGTATGACCTTGAGCTCCTGGAGAAAAAGTTAGAATATAAATGCAAAAACACCCAGACTCAGGCATCCCCAAACTCGGCCCTCCAGATGTTTTGGGACTACAACTCCCATCATCCCTAGCTAACAGGACCAGTGGTCAGGGATGATGGGGATTGCAGTCCCAAAACAGCTGGAGGGCCGAGTTTGGGGGTGCCTGCTGTACATGGTGCCAATCGGCTATCATGGTGTGACCACCATTTTTCCCCTACCAGAATGTTTGTAATATTTTTTTTTGTTTTGAAATAAAAGAAAAAAAGAAAAATCCCCCATGAAGGGGCCAGGCACCCACAAATTTCAGTGCCAGGGCCATGCACACTACATGGCACCCACGACCTCGGGCACCCACGGTCGCGAGCTGCCACTCCTGATGCCAACAGTTCCGCTTTGCAGAGACCCTGAGAGTTGCGCCCACGTCTCCTCCTGCTTTGCAAGTTGACGCTCCGGGTTGCTGAGGACCCAGGACGCAACAGGATGTGATGCTGATGCTGCAAAACGAAACTACCCAGCGCAATTCTTCGGGCTGGGAGCCACCAGGAAACAGAGAGAGAGTGTTTGTTACGCAACGGGGAGAGCCACCACCCGCCTCTCCGGGCTTCACGTGACTTGACGGCCAAGTAAAAGCAAAACTGCGCCTCGGAGGCTGACTCTTGGCAAAAGCAAGCCTCTTCCTCCTCCTCGGCCTCGGGAACGAAAGAGCGCGACTGCTGGTCCTGGCACCCTCCTGGCCGCAGGATGGGCTTCTTCTTCCTGCCCAGCCTTTCCTCGGAAACCTGGGTGCTAGTTCTCGTCTTCCTGGTCCTTCTGGGACTGTGAGTTCAACTCAGAGAACAGGGAGCGCGCACGGGCGGGCGGCGGTTGTTTCTCCGCGATCGGCGGAACCTGCTGCTGCGGGATTCCAGGAAGGAAAGGGCTGGCGAGATGTTCGGGGAAGCGCTGTCGCCCGCGCTTAGCGCTCTGCCTTGCCCGCAGAAGGGCTCCGGGTTTAAGCCCCAGGAGCCTCTCCGGGGAAGACTTGGGCCAGGCGCCCTTTCTGAAACCCTGGAGAGCTCCTAGGGCCGCTCAGCGGGGACAGCGCTGAGCTGGACGGAGCAATGGCCTCACTCGGCAGAAGTCGAAATCAGCCCTTTGTTCAGATCCTGAGGACTGGGAACTTGGCTTTTGGAGAGAAAGGCTGTAGTAGTTCAGGGGTAAGGGCACCTGCTTTGCAGGCAGAAGGCACCAAGGCTCAGTCCCCCGTGGCCTCTCCGGACGGGGCTGGGAGATACCCCTGCCTGGAATGCTGCCGGTCAGTGCCGACACTTCTAGACTGTGTGCTCTGACTTTAGTCTGTGGCAACTTCCTGCGTTTCAAAGGTGCCGTTTTGCCAAGCTGCTGTTAGCTGGGAAGGAAGAGGCTAAAAGCGAGAGAGGAGGCAAGCAGCTCTGGTACTTTTCCAGGGTCGCTGCATAGAGCAGAGGGATCTCTCTTCTTCCTCCACATGTTTACAAAGGGCTCCCCACCTGGACGAGGCAGGCAGCTGTTCTGTAGGAGCAGCTTCCCCCGGCCCTGTAGTTCTGTGGCAGGAAAAGTGCTACCTGATGAATTTCTGCTGAGTCTGTAGCCTTCAGAGGTCATTTATGTTGGCTCTAATCTAATCTCTGTCCCAGGCTGTGCCCGATGGAGGCGACGCCTGCTGCAGCTCCAAGGTGCAAGGGTCAAAAGTGAGAGTCGCGGCCCGGACACCCACCCCCAAGCCCTGCCCTGGTGCCACCACAGCCCGCCAGCAAGCAACCAGCTTCTTAGGCTAGCAAAATAAATAAAAATGTAAAATCTACAGTGTTCGAAATGCCCTGTGTATTTCGTGACTGGTGTGGGTCCAATTTGAAACCACGTGGAGATTTCTGGACGCCAGGTTGGCAACTGACCTCTTCACCTGGCTGGCCCCTGGCCTCCTTAAGCAGGGCAGCAGAAGAGCTCATTTGTTGCATTGATTTTCCACCTTTTTCTCCAAAGAGTACATGGTTGACCTCCCCTCCTCAGTTAATCCCTACAACAGCCCTGCGAGGTAGGCCAAGAGGCTGTGACAGGCCCAAGGTCACCCAGTCAGCTTATAGATATATGGAACTGAAATGTTTAATAAATAATAATAATAATAATAATAATAAATGGTGCTTAGACGTTCTGTTGTGGCGCCTGTAACCTTGGTTTTAAAGTGCTATTTGGCAATTAGCTTATACAGTGGTACCTCAGGTTACGGACGCTTCAGGTTACAGACGCTTCAGGTTACAGACTTTGCTAACCCAGAAATAGTACCTTAAGAACTTTACTTCAGGATGAGAACAGAAATCGCGCAGCGGCAGTGGGAGGCCCCATTAGCTAATGTGGTGCTTCAGGTTAAGAATTGTTTCAGGTTAAGAACGGACCTCCAGAACGAATTAAGTTCTTAACCAGAGGTACCACTGTATTTCTGAGTTTCTAAAACTGGCAATGCAGTCTGGCCAGGAGGTTGAAGGCTCACTCTGCCTCGCCTTTGCCAGGCTCATAGGAAAGTAGCTCAATAGTGTCTGCCCTGACTAACAGCAGTTCTGCAGGATTTTAGGTAGGGCTCTTTCCCAGGCCTCCCTGGAACCAAGGTGGATTTAGAGGAGAGTGTTTAGTTCAGTCACACTGGGTATCGAGCCTTGGGGACGCTGCAACTATTATTTAGAATGGGAGGCAAGAGGCAGGGGGCGCCCAAATTTGATGTCGCACAGGATGCCTCTGAAATTTGAGGCCTCTTGTGCACAAATCCTGCTTGCAGTTTTGTTCTTCACTGGCTAGCATGGAAGCCAGGAGGGCTGGAAGAAGATGGAGACAGCCACCCGTCCATCCTCAGCCAGGCTGCTCATTCGTTCACCTGCAGGGAATTCCTGGTTGCCTGTGGCTTCTGGGCGAGCAGATAACTGCAAGGCCAGGTGGACTGGAATAGCTTGTTTTTCAAACCACTTTTCTCATTGACTTCTCTTTCACTGGTTGTCTTTCCAGCTATGGGATCTGGCCATACAATTTCTTTAAGAAGCTGGGAATTCCTGGTCCAAGGCCTCTGCCCTTCATCGGGACCTTTCTCGAATACCGGAAAGTGAGTATTCTGCAGCCAGTCTTGTGACAGTTGCCCTGGGAGGTAATCAAAGGATTGGGGGGGGGGGAGGGGAGAGAGTAGGTGACTTTGGATGGGACAGGGAATCTGTAGCTTGTATGTGACTCCCTATGTCCTGTACTGGTCATTTTGGAGACAAACGAAAAACTTTTAATACCATGGGACATTTTGAGATTTACCCTCAGAATTGCTTTTTTGAATTGTTTTGTTAAATGTGTGTTGTGATTTTTGGTGTGTGTGTGTGAGTGTAGATGGTTTTTCAAATTAAAGTTTTGCAATCACATATCCAACCTTCATCCTAAAAACAAGATTCCATTTCCTCCTGCGTCTTCTACAATAACCCAAATCTTTTACATCTCTATTAAATCCAAAATTCACCATTAAACTACAGTGTTATTCCTACTAACAATTTTAACTGTTTACAATTATTATTATGATAGATTATAAATCCCCCCCTCCTTATTAAAATTTTGGTATTTCTGATTTCTGATTCTTCTGGTCATTTTTTGCCATTTCAGCATAATCCATCAACTTAATCTGCCATTCTTCTCTGGTCAGGACCTTATCATCTTTCTATCTCTGGGCCAATAACATCCACACAGAAATTTTATGTATTAAAAAACTACACCCTTTTACTTTGTGTCAACCAACCTGCAAACATTTGCATTAAGGCATGGTTTAGCAGTGTACTGTTATGCTTACTGCCCCCCTTTCCCCAAGGTATTATGAAGCGCAAAGTAATAAAAACAAACTATTAAGAACAATAATAAAAATGCCTCAAAACACATGAAGGGCTTGGCCCAGCTTCTGCTTGACTGCTGCTTTACCACTAAATAAGAGCAAAAGTCAACTACTTTTTTGGATTGATTCAGCACTAAAGAGTGGGTTTTTCCAGAGAAAGTAGCAGGGCAAATGGAAAAATCCCCAGGCCCCTGCCTAGGAAGCACGAGACAAGAAAAAGTGTGGACAAGCCCTTAGAACCAGCAAGCCCAATCCAGTTTTTCCTGAGTCCTCATCCTTGGCACCTTAGTTTCCAAACGTTTCTCTGAATCGGAAGGCCTTAGGCTGCTGGCAAAAAGGTAGAAAATATAAAGCCAGTCTTACCTCTCCCTAGTACCTAGGGAGTACTCAAGGCTAAGCAGGGATTCGAACTCAGGTCTCTGCAACCCAAGACCAGCATTCAGTTCTGGCTGTCCGTGTTGACTATGTCTACATATAGGAGATTATATGGGTGTTTTCAAACAAGCTATTTCCCAAGTGTATTCTAGCAGTCATGTTGTGGTGTGAACAGACGAGGAGGATGAATCACATTCCTGTGGTGTGTTTGGGTGTGTTTGGGCTGCTTCTGAGACAAAGCAAAATTCTTTACAGCCCCTAAGTCTGCCTTGCCCTTAAGACAGCACAGCTGCACTGATGGGAGATGCCTGTTTCTCTGACAACTGTTTTTTTATCACTGCAGGGGATTCTGGATTTTGACCTGGAGTGTTTTCAGAAGTATGGCAAAATCTGGGGGTGAGTGTCCCGCAAAGGAGAACCGGGTGTGTGGGGAGGTTGGTCACTGGAGAAGGCAGGTGTGCCTGTTGCTTCCTGCAAATTGTGGCCCAAGTGGAAGGTGTTCCTTGCTGCTATAGAATAAGAATACAATCCTGTGCTCAGGCAACCCACATTTTGCATACTGTACCTATGATACAGATTGAGAAGGTGTGCATGATACACTAAGCATAATTTGCTCCGCAAACGTTTTCTGGTAGAATTTATTGTCCAGGTTTTGCTCATCGTCAGAGTAGCATTTGTCACCAACAGCTTGTCATTTTATTCCTCTGGCTCTTGGCTTCTGAGGTTTTAACAGGTAATCATTCCAAGCGTTGGCTAAAAGGCAGGGCTGGAGGAAGTGTAGCCCTCCAGGGGCTGTTTGGACTACATGTCCCATCATCCCTGGCCATCAGCCATGCTGACTATGGCTGATGGGAGCTGGAGTCCAATGACACCTGGAGAGCCACAGGTTTTCCACCATTGCAGCTGGAGGTTAGGTAAAGAGTCCCAATCTGACACCAAAAAAGAATCCTGATTACCTGTTAGGGTGGTGGTCTCTCCCAGTTGCATAGCCACCTGCTGTGAATGCTGTAGACCTCTGGATTTCCTGCATCTAACGGTGTCAGCCTAGATGGTTTTTAGGGACCAGATCCAGGGTTCATTGTTCCTAGCTTCTTGCCACAAACCAATTGTTGCATCCAAGCAAAATTTACAAAGATTCTTCTTCTTCTTTCTGGGCAATTAGAATTTTTGACGGCCGGCAGCCCATGATGGCTATTCTGGATCCTGTCATGATCAAAACCATCCTAGTGAAAGAATTCTACACCCATTTCACCAACCGTCGGGTAGGTATCTGCTGGGGAACTGTCTCTGTCAAGAGAGATGGGGATGGATTTTGAATTCTTTTTAAAACTTAGACAGCAGCCTGGATCTCACAGAATGTGACGCCTTGCTTTGCTCAGCCAAACTGTGGCTTGCTCAGGCATCAAAACTCAGCAGAGCAAATTTACCATGGTTTGGCAAACCCTGATGTGAAGCCATGGTTTGATGTTGGGCTACAAACTGTGGCTTGCTTTATCTATGGTTTGCTGTTTATGTCCAAACCCAACACCCTCCCTTAATGGTGGTGTATTTTGCCACCCCAGGCCAGACATTTGGCAAGGTATAGAGATGTGAGCTATGAGCAGCTAGAAAACAAAACCACTCCCATGACTGAGCAATTCTCAATAGGGCTTTTTCTGAAGGAAGCTCTTTCCCACGCTGTGACTGTTTTGTAAGGAGTGGGGGAAATTTAAAGGGACCATCGTTCTGCAATGCTTTCTGACCAAGCTCTGAATTCATAGCTATCAATGTTTCCCTTTTTTAAAAGGGAGATTCCCTTATTTCGAATAGGATTCCTCGCAAGAAAAGGGAAAATTTGACAGCTATGGCTCTGATCCACTGATATCTGGCCACCCTACTTTCTAAACCTACTTGCAGTGCTATAATTAGGTTTTCGGGGGGGGGGCAGTGCTGACCTTTCAAACTACGCACTCATATCTGTTTCTCATAAAAGGAAAAGATAAGCTGGCAGAAGTCTGTTGCCCCATTCAAGGTGGCAGGAAAGCGTTAAGAAATTCTAAGATAAAGAGTGCATTTGGCAGGCATGTGGCAAAGGAATGGGGAAGCCAGCCAGATTCCCCCAAAATATTTTCCTTTTCAGCTTGCACAGTCAGCCAGAGTTCAGGTGATGTGGTGAGGCAGTGCCAATCCTTGGGTGTCATGGTTTGGGGGGATATCAGACAGGGGGTGAAGTGTTGGGGTGGAGGACAGGGAACAAACCAAGCTTTGGGTAAGTAAACCATGTTTCCCTCCCCCATCTGTGAGGTGGATCTTGGTTAGTTCAAACAAACCATGGCTTGGCACTTTGTTCGAATGCAGTCAATCTCTACGTTTGTACAAAAAAAAAAAAAAAGAGTGTTTGGTGGTGACAGCTGCAACTCACTCCCAGTATTGATTTCTTGGACTGCTTAGGACTTTGGTTTGAATGGAGAACTGGACACCTCAATAATCACAGTCCCAGATGAGCAATGGAAGCGGATTCGCACCGTCCTCTCGCCCACCTTCACCAGCGGGAGGCTGAAGGAAGTAAGTCTTCAGACCGACCCATCTCTGATGCCATGTTGCCTAAGAGGAATTTGGGTAGATCACTGCCAGTCTTTAACTCTGTGAGTAGATCGCAGTCTCTTGGGATCTGGCCACCCCTGATTTTATTCCAACTCCCTGCAATGCAGGAATCCTGCCCACGGCCATAATGAGTTTCCCTGCCCTCCAGAAACTGTTTTCACACCGCCTTGTCTGCAAGGGAAGTTACATGTGTCGCAAAGGATTCTGGGTTATATTTTGGGGGCTGCTTCCAAATACCAGCTGCTGGAAGCCATGGGAGCGGGGAGGGTTCTTGCGTTCGAATCCTGCTTGCCAGATTCCTACAGGCATTTGGTCGGCCACTGTGAGGACCGGATGCTGGACTAGGTGAGCCATTGGCCTGATCCTGCAGGCTCTTCTTCTGTTCTGGGGTCCATAATTGTTGACCCTAGGACTGTTAGCCTGGATGGTAAGGAGCAAGGAATGAGAGAGAGCAGGGCCCCCCATCCTCCTCACTCCCTGAGAGCCCTACCTGCCCTCGGTGTCACCTTCTCAGGGCAGGACGCTGAAGGGAGTGAGCAGAACCAGGAGTTGCTGACCGTGCCATGGCAGCCAGAGAGCTTCAAATCCAGGATTGCTGGAGCTCAAGCCTGAAGGGGACTCAGGATTGTGATTAGGCCACTCCCTTCGAGGGACTGGGGGGGCACTGGAGTGCCTCTTATGTGGGTTGAAATATGTGAGGGTACACCCAAGGATTGAGTGGGGTGAGTTGAACTTTTGACTGATTTGAACAAAATGAACCCAACCTGGGTGAGTGTGATGGCCTGGGACTCAGGCTCGGACTCGGAACCGGAGGAGTCTTGGTCCGCACCGGATCCTCTGCCTCAGGCGGCATCTGAACCGAGTCTGGAGCCTGATTCTGAAGAGCCCCAGTCTGTATAGATTCCCCTGCAACAAGCACCAGCTGGGCCAAGTCAGGGGCCTGAGCCTGCCCTGGCTCCAGATGCGGGGATGACCTTGTTGCCTTCAGCTGGGCCATCACTTACAGCTGCTCCACTACCGTTGGGTCAGGGGAGGCTGAGGCGGCCTCTGGGTCTAGTAACCCACCAACGTCTCCCGAGCTGCAGAGACTGAGGTCTGAGAGAAGGAGAGACCTGAGTACTCGCAGGAGGAGTGCTCGCCTTCAGGCGAGACAGGGAGGTGAGTCACCGGGGGATCAGAACCGGCTGTTACCCCGTGAGAGATAAAACACTGTTGGACCCTGCCCCAGGTTGCAGGAGCAACATTGCTGTTTGCCAAAACCTGCCTGAGACCCTGTGCCTGACCCAGCCTGGTTTCCTGCCTTGACCCTGTTGGACTGACTCCTCGTGGAATCCTTGGATTCGGGACCAGACCTGGACCGTGTTGTTCGGGTTAACCCCCTGGCACAGCACAGTGAGCTTGAGAATGCACCCCCAGAAGAAAACCTCTCCCGCTCCTTGTGGGTGTCTTCTCCAGGGCCAGTCTCTTGACATTGTGAAGTGGCCAATCCAAACTGCTGCTTGTTCTATAGCTCCATTTTAATGGGGTCTCTACCACCATTCAGGTTTTTCTCTGCATTTCCAGATGCTCCCCATCATCAACCGATACGGAGGAATGCTGGCGAAGAACGTCCAAAAGAAATCAGACAACGATGAACCCATGGACATGAAAGAGTGAGTTATTTCTTGGGGGGCTGTTGCGGGGAAAGGAGCCCATATTAGAACCAAAATGAATTCCAGGAAACTTCCAGGAGGAATTCTGAGTACAGTCATACCTCTTGTTACGTTTGCTTCATGATACGTTTTTTCAGGTTGTGTCCCGTAGCGACCTGGAAGTACCGGAAAAGGTTACTTCCGGGTTTCGCCACTTGCGCATGTGCAGATGCACAAAATGACGTCATGCACATGCGCATAAGCAGCGATTCATGACCTGTGCCTGCACAGATGTGCAGACGCGGGTTGCGTTCCTTTCAGGTTGCGAACGGGGCTCTGGAACGGATCCCATTCGCAACCAAGGTACCACTGTATTGACACATTTTGCAGAATTACAAGGTTGAGTGTTTTCTGGAGTGTCTCACTGCAGAGTTCAGCAGGAGTTTCATCCCTGTATGGAAAAGCTGCGTATTCCTGCACTGCAGGGGTCAGGCTATAAGATCATCAGGATGCCTTCCAACTCTTCAGTTCTATGAGTCTATGGAATACATGATTGAATACATCTCCCATGTAAAGAACAAAACAAATTTCTATAGGAAAAAACCTAGAGAAAATAATGCAAACAAAAAGTTATATATATTCTTAGAATATATACACACATTGTGGGGAAGTAATGCAAACAAAAAGTTAGCCTCCAGTTCAGCTTCTGCTGTTTTTAGTCCCAGAAAGGAATGAGTACGATGATATTGCAGCGGAGCATTGTTCTTTATTTAATTTTTTTAAGTGTATGTTTTGAAATATTAAGTATGTGGTTGCTAAATATGTTTTAATTGACACATTTTACTATGAAAAGAAATCCATGGGAAGTCATAATTGCATTTAACAAACCTATTAAACAGAAACAGCATAATGAAGAAAGTTAATGATGTACGATTTCCCCCACCATTATGGAATCTTAAAAATAAACATGTAATTTTTAGATGAAGTCTTGTACAGGCTTGAGATGTATCCAATAAAAAGAGCTGATTCACGGGCCAGGAAGGCCTGAGCTCATGCGGATCACGTAGCTGAGTTTAAAGTCCTTGCAAGATTCATTGTGTGCTTCTTTCTGCTGAGGGTCTTCTCTGGGAGAACTTCATGTGACCAACAGCCATCACATTTCATGCGTGTTTCTTTCCTGCTTCCCTTTCCCACAGTATCTTTGGCGCCTACAGCATGGACGTTGTGACCAGCACCTCGTTCAGCGTTGACATCGATTCCATGAACAACCCCAACGATCCTTTCGTCAAGAACATCAAGAAGTTCCTCAAGTTCAGTTTTCTGAGTCCATTGGTGATTCTGATAGGTAAGAGACACTTGTCTGCTAAAGTGGGCAGGCAGAGAGGTTGGGGAGAGGACCTTTTCCACCTGGTGCACCGCATACCTTCAGGGGCAGGCTTCCAGGGGATCTCTTGCATTTAGTGGGAACAAGGAACCAAGCAATGGTCACGGCATGGCTTTGCACAGTAGGCTAAATCCCAGTGATGCAGAAGTCAGACAAAAGCCAGAAGCAAGAAGCAGGGCTAGGATTTATTGTTGCAGCAGTAAATGCAGAAAACTAATGTGCTTGTATCTTCCTGGATCTAGTTGCACTGGCTCCCAGTAGAGTATAGGGTCAGGTTCAAGGTCTTGACCTTTAAAGCCCTTTGTGGCTTAGGGCGGGGGTATGCCCCACAGAGGACCTTAAGGTCCATGAATAACCATAGTTTAGAGGTCCTGGGCCCTAAGGAAGTCAGACTATCCTCCACCAGGGCCAGGGCCTTTTCAGTAATGGCTTCGACCTGAAGGCAATCTCTGTCCCAGGAGACTAGGGCCCTGCAGGATTTAACCCCCTTCCGTTAGGCCTGTAAGACAGAGCTATTCCACCTGGCCTTTAATTTGAATTCAACCTGATCTTTTATTTCCCTTCTCTTCCCTCCCCCTCCACTTTTATGAAGATCACCCGCTCTGAGACCCCACAGCTAATTCTCCCCTGGCCTCCACACTGGCCCAAGTAGGACTAATTCAGCCAGCTAGCCCTGGGGATTATCTAATGCTTATTTCCCCTAAATTGATTTCTGAATTTTGAATTTTATTGTGGTTCATGTTTTTATACTGTATTTTATGCTGCTTTTACAATTGTTTTAAATTTGTTGTTAGCTGCCCTGAGCCCGGTTTTTGAACCAGGAAGGGCGGGGTATAAATAAAAATGTATTATTATTATTATTATCTATAATGTGTGCTTATAAAGAGTTTAGGTTTGCAGGGCTGAAACCGCATGGAAAGGGTGTTTGCACAGAAAACTTTGCCATGTGGTTGCCAGGTCTCAGGCTCTCTACCTGAACTGTCCAGGTTTCAGCTTCTACCTAAAAATCTCCGGGGAAATGAGTTCTGTCTCTTGAAGAAGCAAAGAGAGAGGCAACTTTGGTCCATCGTATTCCTAGCTTTTCTGTCTCTCAAGAAGAGCTTGGCAAGATTCCTTGACTGCGTGTTCTTATTAGACTGCTGCTTCGTTGTATCCTCCCAAAACGCTGTTCTGTTTTTCTCTCTTCCAGTCGTCTTCCCGTTCCTCACACCGCTGCTGAATAAACTAAACTTCAACCTGTCATCTACCGCCTTCCTAAACTTCTTTACTAATGCTGTCACAAAAATCAAGAAGGACCGTCAAAAGAACCAGCACACGGTCAGTGTGGCCCCTTCCTGAACATCGCATGTGGAAGGTCGGGTGCGTGATTGACACTCCGTTCTCTCCTGCTAACCCTTGCCTCTGTCTCTGTTCCCTTGCAGGACAGAGTTGACTTTCTGCAGCTCATGGTGGACTCCCAGATCTCAGGCAACGTCTCCAATGAAGCAAGTTCCTATAAAGGTAAATAGACAGGTGGCACCTCCAAACAGTGGCTGTGTTTTGTGCTACGGCTTGAAGGGTGTTTTCTTTGCTCTGACATATCAGGGCTGTACTCCCTGTTTTGGGATTCCACCTGTACAGAGATCCTTGACATTTCTGGCCAACGCCTAGAAAAAGCTAGTGAAGTAGCTCTGCTGAAGTTCATTCAAGGTGAAAACCTGAATGTTCACTTTAAAACCATTCATTGTGTATTTCCTGGTAGCAGGGATTGCTAGGTTTCAGAAGGGAGTAGAAGTGCCATTGCATACATACATACTAACAGAGCAAACCTAAGCATAACCTGGTTTCTCTGCCTTGGCTCCAGGGAGGCTAAAAAGGTTATGCAGCCTGAATTGTGCTGGGCTTTGGGAAGCTGCCAAAGGGTGACCCCTAAGGGACCTGACCCTTTGGGATATGCAACTGGATTTTGGAATACTGCCTGGGAGCTGAGAATACGATGCTTCACACTTTCATCATCATTTTTTTATTTTTGTATGCTGCCTTTCCACAGTTAAAAAAACAATGCTCAAGGTGGCTTACACCATAACAAGATTTACATAATTACAAAAATCATAAACAATAAATATTTTTATTTATTTATTCAAAATTATAACAAGACATATTATCCAAAAACATATCATCCTTGTTTTCCCCCTCATTTTTCCTCCCTCCCCCCTCCCACACAAACCCCCACCCCACCCCACCCCCCAACTTCCCTCAGTTCCTGTCTTTGGTTTCTCTAAGAATGCTGTTTTCTGCATGTTACACAGTTGTATAGATCCTCAAACTATTTAGCTGATTATTATCAATAAAAAGTTTGTGAATGTTTATTCAAAACCTGCCAAGGAGTCCAGTTTGCTTTGTTGCATCTTCAGATATTTTGTAAAGGGTTCCCATTCATCCTTAAAGTCACAGTTATCCTTGTCATGTAGCTTATATGTCAGTTTTGCCAGTTCTGCATAGTCTGCATTTTTCTTGCCATGATTCTTTAGTTGGGGTTTCTTCAGTCTTCCATCCTTGTGCTACCAGAACTCTCGCGGCCGTTGTCGCATACATGAAGATGTTTTTCAACTTTTTTGGCAGGTCTTTCCCTACAATCCCCAACAAAAATGCCTCGGGTTTTTAAACAAATGTTAAATGGAACATTTTCTTCAATTTGTTGTATATCATTTCCCAAAATCATAAACAATAAATAAACCACATCAAAAAAATGCACAACCAAATGGGAAACAATTTCCACATAAATCAAAATCCAAAACCAAGAATACAGCATTAATACCACAGTTTAAAATGACATAGGTAAAAAATAACAGCAATTTAAACAAAAAACAAAAGAAAATGGAGCCCTTTCTGCCCAGCAGCAGCAGTGGCAGCAGTCCTTTATAGAGCCCATCAGGCCCAGGCCAAGTGTTGAGTGGCAGGATTGGGGCCCTCAGGTGCTGAGCAGGAGAGTCCTCCTGGGTGGTAGCCGCAGCAGCAGTCTTTATAGCCTGTCAGGACTATATGTCGTTTAGCTAACTAGTTACCTAAACGACAACTAGGAGAGATAGTTATAAGACATGGGGGGTGGGGGATGGGTGCATATTGTGCCTTTGGGACTGGAGAAGTAGGAGTAGATGTATTTTGAAATGGATTGAAATGAGGCCGCAAGTGATTTTGAGACAAGTACCACATCCTGAATAGTAAGACTGTTGATCCCACCCTGATTTTTACTGACAGCTTGTTTGTAGTGTTGAGATGAAGTTGTGTTTTCCCTCCTTGTTTGCTTTCTTCTGCAGCTCTGACGGACAGGGAGATTATGGCCCAGGCCATTGTATTTATTTTTGCTGGTTACGAGACCACCAGCACCACTCTCAGCTTCTTGTCCTACTGCCTGGCCACCCACCCAGATGTGCAGCAGAAGCTGCAGGAGGAGATTGATGAAGCTCTTCCCAACCAGGTAAGAGCCTCTGTTTTGGTCTCCAAGGATGATGCTCATCAGGTCTGTCTGATGATAAATGCTTTGGCTTGGAGGGACATAGGCAAGCATGGAGAAACCTGTCTCCTGGTGGCTTGTGGGACAGCCTCAAAAGCATGATGGCGGGTGGGAAAGCTGGTGGACTCTAGATCCCATCACCCCAGCCAGCATGGCCAGTGGTGATGGATCATGGGAGTTGTAGTCCAACAACATTTGGAATCCTTTGGGTTCCTCACCTCTGGTCTAGAAGGTTGACATACCAGAAGTGGAATGTGGGGAAAACAAAGATGTTGAAGCCATCAGATAGATTTCACTGGCAGTTTTCATCCAAATTCCCAGTAATTGAGCAGGATTGCAGTACAGTGGTACCTCGGGTTAAGTACTTAATTCATTCCGGAGGTCCGTTCTTAACCTGAAACTGTTCTTAACCTGAAGCACCCCTTTAGCTAATGGGGCCTCCCACCGCTGTGCCACCGGAGCATGATTTCTGTTCTTATTCTGAAGCAAAGTTCTTAACCCGAGGTACTATTTCTGGGTTAGTGGAGTCTGTAACCTGAAGCGTCTGTAACCCGAGGTACCACTATAGTGTTAATTGACAAGAATGGAGGTACTGGAAGTGCCACCACGATTTGTGTTGGGCTTGCATGGCTGCCACTCTGGACAAAGGTGGACAGGTTCAAGAGGGCGGAAACGCATTCTGCTGCTTGGTATAAAGAGATCACAGGCGAACTGGGAAAGCAAATCAAAGAAAACAAAGCAATAAAATCTGGTGGAATTTATGAAGGGGGCAAATAGGAACTGCAGAACTGAAGACTGGAACTTAATTTTCCTGAATCCTGCCCTTAATAAATATATGTTTGCTAAATAATCCTACCTTTCCCAGCGGACTCCTCTAAGAAAGCTGTAAAATTAGGGGTCTGGGAGTTCTCGACCAGAAAAAAACAAAGCAAAGTATTTGTGTGCAAACCAAATAGTATAAATTTGGGAGGGGGGTTATATTTGTTTGTTTATCAAACATGGATTTTATTTTTCATCAGGGCCAGAAATTTGGAGGGATGGAATTCATGGAAAATGGCTGGGCAGCAACTGGGTTCTGCTTCCCCTCCCTCCCTTTCAGCCAGGCCAGGCAGTCCGTGAGTGGCACTGGTGGGGAGTGTACCATTATGCCTCATCCAGTAGTTTTTCTAATTCATGGAGGAGGAGAAGGCTACTGCAATGATCTCAGGCAGGCAAACAAGCCCCGATAAGAATTAATGAGTCTCTGGCAGTTGTATGGCATGTTTATTTACAAATCACATTGAGAGTGTGGTTCCGAGCCTGCCGCTCTTAGCAACGAGTCAGTCACTCTGAGGCTCTGCCCCTGTCACAACACGAAAGGCGCCAAAGTCCAGTCTGTCCTCTGTTGTACTTCTGTTGTATTTTAACCCTTTCAGCTCTTCTGGTTTGGCGAGAAGGTGGGTGGGAAACCCCCCCCCTCTCATAACAAGAGCCCTCTGAACGCTGTTTCTCTGCTGGTTGCATAGCAACCCCCTTAATGCCGTCCATCTCTTCCCCTCCCCCTGTCTGCGAACTGTCTGTGTCTGGGAACTCTTGGTGAAGGGGGGGGAGCTAACCCCCTCCTTCATTCTTTCATCTCCAGAGTCAGACTTTGGCCCTCTCTGTACTGGCAATCCTACATCTCCAGAGCTTGACTCTGTTAGGATATTCCGTTCCACCTTAAAAGGAACAGGCATGATTGTTGTGTGTCACATGCCTGTTTACAGTCTAGCACTGCTTGCTGGGAACTTCCGTTTTGTGTACAGCTTTTGCTTTAGCTGCTTGCTTGGACATGAAAGGGAGAAGTTATGTTTTTCCTTTGTCCTGAATAAACTGTTTGTAAATATGCTTTACATATGCCTCTTTCTGCCCTTCTGTTGCGAAGAGTTTTTTGCTGATTGGAGCGTGCTCCAGCTTCTGAAGAGTTCTGAAGCTGCGGGTCACTGTGCCAAGGACCGGAGATTGCCCAGCTACCGGCCGGTGGGCTGGAGCCAGCTGGGGGCCTGCAAATTGCCCCTGTTTCCTTGGACACATCCCAATAGACTCTTCCCACGCATTCAATTCAGTCATGTCCCTGACAGCTACCAATGGCTACCAGCCATGACGGCTCTTCTCTGCCTCCACAGTCAGAGGCAGCAACGCTTCTGAAAACCAGTTGCAGGAAACCATGAGAAGGAAGACGACTCTTGAGCTCATCGTTCTGCTTGCTGCTTTCCCAGGGGCATCTGGTCAGCCACTGTGACGAAGCTGATGATGATGATAATTTATTTATACCCCGCCCATCTGGATACTGGACCAGATGGGCCATTGGCCTTAGGTTCCTGATGTTTTATTTCCCTCTTTTGCAGGCCACTCCCACCTACGAAACCGTCCTTCAGTTAGAGTATCTGGACATGGTGGTGAACGAAACGCTTCGGCTTTATCCTCCGGGAGGGCGGATCGAAAGGGTTTGCAAAAACACCGTGGAGATCAATGGAGTGACGATCCCCAAAGGAACTGCGATCATGATCCCTGCCTATGTCTTGCATCGTGACCCGGAACACTGGCCGGAACCGGAGGAGTTCAGACCTGAAAGGTGCATTGCAAGGAAGGAGACTCTTCCTTCTCCCGAAAGCAGCTAATAAGAAATCCTGGCGACAGGAGCAGGAAACCCAAGAGTGGGTGTGATTATTGCAACACCTACACAATGCATTTATCATTGTTTGACATCCGCTGTCCGCGCTGCCATGCGGGGACTTTTTATAACCTACACCCATAAACTGTGCATGGAATTTAATTAACTGTATTGAGGGAAATGACACCTAGATGGTTTCAGCGACTGAAACATTGGCCTGGTTTTATGCCCAGCGGTTAAAAGAAGAGCTATAGGGCAGCTGGTGCCAAGCCATGAAAATGCTTGCAGAAAATGAAAGCCAAAAAGTGATATACTTCTTCCAATGTTTGGGGAGGGGGAATGATTTAATTCCTATTGATAATGGGAAAATAATTTGTCCATATTTTGCATTTACATCACTGAAAAGGTTTACATGTCCACAACATACTTGCAATACAGAAAAGAAGATTAAATTATATTTTCCTGGTGATTTCAAATGAGTTGAGCGTGAAAATCTGATTAATAAGCAAGATACAATCCAGATAGAAAATGCTTAGCTGCCATATCAAAACCTAAATAATAAGTGACATTTAATCCAACCAAAGTGTTTAATTGTGCTATAAGCATCTTTCCCCAACTTTCATCCTTTCTCCCCATTCATCTCTAGTATCTAAGCTGAATTAGTAATATCTTATTATCAAGAAAGAGAATCCTATTTTCATAACATTTCTTGAATCTCTAATTTCTGCCTTCCTTCATTGCTGCTGGAGCTGAGGCTGCATGTATACCGTGTTTTTGAAGCACATTCGAAGCAGATTCTCCCGTTCAAAGTATTCTGGGTACAGCAGTTTGCTAAGGGCTGCTGGGAACTGCAACTCTTGGAAGGGGAAACTACATTGCCCAGAATTCTTTGCAGGGAAAACATGTTTCAGAGTGTTTTAAAGCTACAGTATGTATGGAGCCTTAGCCACCTCCATTCATTTTGATGGGATCTATTCAAAGGTATGCATAATGACTGGTTACCGAACTCAATTGGAGGGGAAGAGCCATTTACACCACCTCGAGCTTTTTGCAGGAAATGGGCAAGATCAATGTAATAATGAAGAAGAACATGCCTGTTTAACCGGCCCATGGACCCCCCACCACCTGCTCAGGGACTCCCGACGCCTGCTCAGTCAGCTCCTGTGCACCGCACTAAACCGTCGCAGAGCAGAGCAGGGACTGCCTTCCACGACGCTGGCCTGCTTCCCATTGGCTGCTGGAACACCTGGAAGGAGCATCAGAAATAGCGTTTGCGCATGTGTGCACACGCGCACTCCGGCCCACCACGGCGTCTGCGGGACCGTGTACCGGCCCAAGCCACAAAAACTTTGCTGACCCCTGATCCATAGCTTGGCCAATCAAATTCCCTCCATAATTTGATTCTCAAGCCCCAGATGGGGTCACTTGTCTCGCCCAGCAGTGGAGGAACATTAGGTGTGTTTTGCTTCCAGTATCCTTCCTCACCTCATACTTCTCTCTTTTCCGATCTGGAAACAGGTTCAGTAAAGAGAACAGGGAAGCCATTGACCCGTATGTCTTCCTGCCCTTCGGTGCGGGTCCACGGAACTGCATAGGAATGCGCTTCGCCCTCCTGGTCTTGAAAGTGGCGATGGTGGTCTTGCTGCAACGATTTTCCTTCCGTCCCTGCAAAGAGACTCCGGTAAGCCACAGCATTCTGTCCGTTTTGCCTTAACGCAAGGCCAACTGCTCTATTAGCACTGAATTGTTTGCTAAAACCAGATGGCTGTATACATTTTATTTCCCCCTCCACACCTCATTCCTGGGCCGGAGGAATCACACCTGTCTCTGAGCACAGGTGTGATGTGCTGACAAGGTCTCAATCACGCTGTGGCATTCTGCACTCATGGCAGCTTCTGGATAAATTCATCCCTGAAGTAACCAATTATTATTATATTTATTTTTAGCCTGCTTTTTTCCCCTGACAAGGGCTCAAGGCATTTTGCAGATAAAATAGGAACAGCTAAGAAACATTGGGAGGGGAAATCCAATCTTTTTTTTTTTTTTTAAAAAAGCATTAATAGAATTAAATCCAGCTATATAAAGATATATTAAAACATACACATAATTACAATAAAAACAGCACAGCCTCTGCCATTTCCTTAAAAAAAGTCAGTTCCCAAATGGCTGTTGGAACAAGAAAGACTTCACATGCTGGCAGAAGCACAGCAAGGAGGGAGCTTGTCTAGCTTCTTGAGGAAAGGAGTCTGAAGTGTGGGAATGTTCAGGGAGGCAGGAGAGGATATATTGTTTATTAATATCCTTCCTAGTTTGCGCTAGCAAGTTCCTTTACTTAGCAGAGTTTCACATTCCCCTTTTAAACGCACAGTGGATAACTGGTTGCAGGCTTGTGTAAGCCTCTCACTATTAGGTTCCTGGTAAGTTCTCTTAGATCCCTCTTAAAAGAATAAACACGCCACAATCTTGTGTAAAGTATATAAAAGTAGTTTACTCACATCAGATCACAGATGGATCCCTGAAGGCAGACTTAGTTACAAAGTATATACATGTGAATCTATCCCATGTGGGGATAACCCCAGTGTCCTCTGGAAGCCAACAGAGCATCTCTAGCTAAAAAGCTGTTCCAACTATGGAGGAAGTCAAAGAGAGAGAGTGTACAGCGTGCCTTGTCCTTTTGTTACCTTGACAGGTAAGGTCACGTCCACCTCTAGTCACATGCAAAGAATGTATGTCCCAGCCAGGAGGAAACAGGAAGTTTTTGACTGGCTGGACCAAACATTCCCCCACATGTCCACTCTAGGAAAACAAGGAATGTTGTACTTGACTGCTACTTATGTATCACATCCCACACAAAGTTGCTTGGGAGGAGCCAACCCCAAGAAGGCCCTCTTCTTCATCCCCACCTGTGAGGGTGGCGAGACCAAGAGAAAGGCTACCCCCAGAGATCTCAGAGCCCAAGTAGATTTGTATGAGGGAGTGTGGTTTTTCAGATCACTTGGACTTAAGCTGTGTAGGGTTCTATATAAGTCATAAGCAGCACTGTTGAACCCATAGAGTTGGAAGGGATCCTGAACATCATCTAGTCCAGCCCCCCCCCCCCAATGCAGGGATGTGCAGCTGTCCCATAGGAGGATTGAACCTGTAACCATGGCATTAGCAACATCATGCTCTAACCAACTGAGCTATCCGTTATTCAAACCTGATGTTCCTGAGTGCTTTTGAAAGGCAGCCCCATGTAGAGAGTGTCGTGTGTGGAGGAAAACTTAAAATACATTGCAAAGTTCCCCAGAAATAGACCAGAGGCAATTGTATCTCATCCAGCAGAGCTTTACTGATACTGAAGGCGAATGAGCGTCATGGTCACAAATCCAATACTTTCAGGATTGGCACTGTCTGTAAGAAGTCCAGTTGCAGCAGACTGAACTTAAACTTCACAGTAACTTATAATAAGTCTAAACCTTAACAGTATAGCATACAGACCACCACACCAGAACAAAGAGATAGAAAGAGAAAGTGAGTGAAACCCAGACTCCTCCTGGCGTGACTATTATAGTCAGCATGACCTTGACAGAAAGGATAACAGAACCAGTTTAAACCAACCGTACTCAGCTTCCCAGGAGTAGGCTAAACATCAGAAACCTTCGGCCTGCTTCTTTCACATAGAAAGAAACCTTCCAGAACACTCTTGAGCTAAGTAGAATAGAAAAGATCTCTAGACATCAGATCAATACTTTCTGTACTAAGAAATGCAAACTGACAGCATTACAGTAATCCAAACAGGATGCAGTTAAGGCCTGTGTCCTTGTGGCCAACTCAGACATCTCAAGGAACAGGCGCGATTCATGCACTTCTGTGGCCAGGCTTTCCTGGTCCAGCAACGGCCGTAGCGTTTGATACGGCCATATTTGGACTACTGTGTCCAGTTCTGGTTGCCTCGCCTCAGAAAGGAGGTTGGCAAAGATTTAGAATGGGACCGCAGAAATGATCAGGGGATGGAGTAAATCTTTGATGAAGAAAGTCTGCAGCAGTTAGGGCTTTCGCGTTTGGAGAAAAGATGAGTTCGAGGCAAGATGATAGAAGTTTTTAAAATTATCCCTGGCATGGAAAAAGGTTTTCCTTCCTCTCTCTTAACACTAGAACTCATAGATCATGGGTAGGCAACCTAAGGCCCGGGGGCCGGATCTGGCCCAATTGCCTTCTAAATCTGGCCCACGGACGGTCCAGGAATCAGCATGTTTTTACATGACTAGAATGTGTCCTTTTATTTAAAATGCATCTCTGGGTTGTTTGTGGAGCATAGGAATTCGTCCATTTTTTCCCTCCAAAATATAGTCTGCCCCCCCCCCCAAGGTCTGAGGGACAGTGGACCGGCCCCTTGCTGAAAAGGTTTGCTGACCCCTGTCATAGACATTTATCAAGCCAAATGCCAGAAGGTTCGGGACAGATAAAGTCCTTGTTTATGCAGCAGAGTTAAACTGTGGAACTCCCTCCTGCAGTGACGGCCACCATCTTGGATGCCTTTTAAAGAGGACTGGACAAATTCATGGAGGAGGAGAGGGCTATTGACAGCTGTTAGCCACAATGGCTATGTCCTGCCTCCACAGTGATGCTTCTGAATCCGTTGCTGGAAACCAGCAAGATCCTGCTTCCTGGTTTCCCACAGGCATCTGAATGGCTCTTCTCATGCAGAATGATGTGTGTGTGAACTTTGCAGTTGCTTCTGCTGGACCTTCCCTGCTCCATCCCACTTACTGGTCATTTTTGCTTTCTTTTGATGACAAAGATCCCCATGGAACTGGACAGCAAAGGGTTCATGAAACCGAAAAAGCCCAACGTTCTGAAGCTGGTCCCCAGAGCCGTTGCTTCTCCAGAGGAATAAAGGAAGGGGACACAGCAAAGAGGCAGAGACAGGCGCTACCTCCCTCTTTCCACACCGTGTTGCCTTCACCTCACTGAGGACTAGCGACTTGCGTTGACAGAACTGCGCAGAGGAAATTGTGCCTTTTATTTCTCAGAGTATTACTGACTTGATAATCTGTTTACTTAAGCTTATGTGGTAAGCCGCAGTGAAGACTGAAGACATATGCAATTTTTATGACCTTATCTTTAGATTTTAGAAGTTTGGGGGTTATATATGCTGCTTCTTGGCCAAAGGTCAAGGTTTCATAATTTAAAATCATGGGAAGAAAGAAATTGCAATATGTACTGTAGCAGTAGATGTCAGTGTTTTCAGACTTGAGATCCCATTTTAACCTAAACATGGATTTGCAGGACGCATTCCTTAAGGTTATTTTGATCATGTATTTGAATGGTGGCCATGTTGCAGTTGGGACCCACTTTAAATCAGGCTGTGACCTTGTAGTGGATCCCCACCCATCAGTGAAAGGCAACCTCTAGCCTCCTGTGCAACTCTGCTGCCCAGGGCTGAGGTTTGCAATGTTTTGGTAGCGTCCAACTGAGGCACTTTGTGGTTCTCCCACATTTGCACCTCTGAGCCAGAAAATCCCCCTCTCCCTTTTCCCCAGCTCCACTCCACTAAATTCCCCATCATCTCCCCTACCTCTGTGACCCAAACAGGAAGACCCATTCCCCACTCCCCAAGGCGAAGCACTGTATTCTGTTACTTACCTCCCATATGTTGCCAAGATCTTTAAGGCAGAGGTCTTCAACTTGGGTTGCTTTTGGAGGTGAGGGGAGACATCCAGATGACTCTCAGAGACAGGGCCTTCTTGGTGTTGGCCCCCTGTGTGTGTGCAGAACTCTTTCCATGGATCGATCTGCCAAGCCCCAACACCACTGACCTTTCTGTGCCACCTTAAAACTCCACTTTTCTCTTAGATGTCACAGGTTTAGATTTTATTGTTGAACACCTTTGCCAATTTCCAGTGTGGCAGCACATGTTTGAATGTGGATTTTTTTTTTGTGATGCATTATGTCTGCTGCTGGACTGTTCAGTTTTCTGTGCCACCCAGAGGCCTTCTATTCATAAATATGCATAGATATACATAGACATATATAACATAAATAAATCTATGGTTTGCAACAGTTCTTTTGGTGCCTGTGGCTGAGCGATGGGTGGATCTTGAGGTCAGTGTGCCCAGGGTGTGTGACATGTGCTGGGTCCCTGAGTGTCAGACTTCGGAGAATTGCTCCCCACCCCCATTGACTGTGTATCAGTGGAACAAAGCAGTTAGAGTCTCTTACCAGTTTAAGAATGTTTAATGATCAGAGCAAAAGAACAACGCAGCCATTCTCTGAATAAAGGTGCTTCACTCCTACTCCCCCTCCCCAAGTTATCTTCATCACTTCCCCCTTCTTGCAACCTGATCATGCAAGCACTGAACCTTCTGCATAGCAACCTTATCAGCTGTCCTTGCCTTTGGAGAGAGAGGCTGGACAGTGTCAAGTGAAGCGGAGTCCGTTATCTCTCTCTCTCGTCCTGTTCTGCTTCTTCTAGCTGTTCCCCACTCGGCTCTGCCCAGCTGTTGTTTTCCGAACTATGCCCCTCTGCAAAACAATTCTCTAAATCTATACCGCTCCACTGTTCCTGGGCAGCTTCAGGATCCTGGTCAGGAGCAGGAAGAGGGGGAGGTTCCCACCATTCCTCTTCAGAGCTGTAATCCTCAGTCTGGTCTCTGACACTGAGCATCGCTAGGGGTGCCTTGTGTCTACATGCAGAGGGCTGGGTGGCCAGCAGGCAATCCCAACTGTGCTGTTTCCATCCATCGGCCTGAGCTCTGATGTAAATCAGCGACCCGGACTTCAAGGGCCAGGGCACACTATTAGCAGTGTATTGCGTATACAGAATAGGCGTGAGGCTTGTGAAATCATACTATAACTACAGATTTATTCATCATAAATCAGGACAAAGAAACATGTCGTCTCTCTCTCTCTCTAATGTTGTCTCAGAGAGAACGGGAAAAGCAAATGCTATATGCAAATGGAAGTTCCCAGCAAGCTGTGCTGGAATGTAAACAGACATGTGACATGCAACAATTCCACACGTCTGTTCCTTTAGGTGGAACGGAATTCTCAACACCTTGTGCCCCCCATCGCCTATTTGCTTGCACTCCCTGGCTGGCTATTATTTTATTGTTGATGTATTGCTTTTCTATTCTGCCTCTTTTTTCTCTCCCTCTTCAGTCCTCTCCTGGTCCTGGGAGACAGTGGAGCAGGAGAGGTGGGGCAGGCAGAGGCAAAGCAACCTGCTCCAGTACCCAGAGCGGTACTTGTCCCAGGGGGCGTGGTGCATGCCCCAGGGGTGCTGCCGATCGGTGGTCAGCATGTTGTACCTTTTGAATGGTACCCAGGGCGAACCACCGCCTCCCTCAGAATGCCCCTGGAGGCAGGAGGAGGAGGCGTGGATGTCCTTGACCATGCATAGGCAAACTCAGCCCTCCAGATGTTTTGGGACTACAATTCCCATCATCCATGACCACTGGTCCTGTTAGCTCGGAATGATGGGAGTTGTAGTCCCAAAACATCTGGAGGGCTGAGTTTGCCTATGCCTGTCCTTGACCGGCCTGACCAATCTCTCCCTGTCCCGCACCTGCACTTCACTCTCCAATCCTTCAGCTTCTCCTGCCTCTCTCATCTCCTGGCTTGCACAGGCTCTCCCAGATCACTGATCCCTTCTTCCAGGTCGTTCTCCAACCCACCCTTCTCCTAATTCTGCTAATTCTGCTAATTCTGCTAATGCAACAAAATGGGTGGAATGGATGCAGCGGTGCCAGCCTTTCCAAAGGCTGGTAGTCATTTACACTTCCAGCAGCTCTTTGCCACCCGTTGCCTTTGAGAACCCGCAGGTAACCCCACCACCCTCAGGGGACACCACACCCCACTTTGGGAACCCCAGATGAAGATCAGTGCTGAGTTAGGTGGCCCAGTGGCCTGGCTTGCTGTAGGATATCTTCCCGTGTTTCTAGGCTTCCCACCAGGAGATCCAAAGTTGCCTTACATTGTCGGTTTGCTCAACTCAGCCCCATGAGACCTTTTTGTGAAAGCTCTCCCACAACCAAGCTCAGAATCGGATCACTGATCCTGCCGGATGTGTTGTCAATGGCAACTCTCTTTTCCAAGGCCATATTGCAAATGGGGAATGGTTGGTGCAGACACACTTTTGAAGGTCACTCTGTTCCTCCGTTGTTTGTGTTCATCTGCCGCGTGCATGATGTGCGGCATAATCAGAAGGCGTCCCGAATGCTCATGCAGGAATGCCAGCACTGCAATCATTTCACTGCGTAGCTGCAGCAACGATACGGCACAGACCCCTTTCGCGGGATGAGCTGAATCAGCAGAAAAGCTTTTGAAGAAAGGGCTCTTGTTTTCTCCGGGCACAGAAGCAGGGAACAGTTTCTAAAGCATTCAGAGCTGCATCAGAGCATACCAGACCTCATCCTGGCCCAGAATCAGAACTACACCCTGCTAAAGACACAGGGGTGCTGCTGTGAAAGGCATCTGCGGGTCACATTTTCACGTTTCCTCTGTGATGCGCAGTGATGCATATCCTGTGTTATGTACGGCATCATTAGATGGGAATGGGCTGGGAAAGGCAAAATGGGAAGTTCCAACACAAAGGTGGCATTATTTTAACCACAGGGGAAAGGCTGCAAAGTTGGCAGAAGTTGTGTTCTTGCCCGTTCAAATGTGGTTTGTGAAATACCCTGCATGCCAATTCACGATCCTACGTTGCAGGGTTGGCCCAAGGCATTTTGCTGATAGACAGCTGGTTTGCTGATGTTCCCTTTGTGGATAGGTGCTTCCTTCGCAATCATTCAGTGCTTGAAGCAGTCAATCGTGTGTGTGTTTTTCGACTGCAGATTTTAACAGCTGGGTTTAGAGAATGCATCGTTGATCCCAAACAAGCCAGACCTTCCGACGGATACTGTCCATTCTAGCCTGTTTTCCATGCCTTGACCTGACAGAAGGCTTCTGAGCAGAGGATCTTTTCTGTCTGAAAAACCAAACGATTAAATGTAACTTCCTGAATGCCCATTTACCCGTCCACTGGGCATTTGTGTGGCTCAATGCCATTTGCCCTCTGGCTCTTCTTTTAACAGCCCGACATAAAACCAGGCCAATGTTTCAACTGCTGAAGCTAGTTTAGCTGTAATTTTTCTCCAACACAGTTAATTAAATTCCAGGCGCAGTTTATGGGCGTAGATCATAAAGAGGCCACAAGGCATTACAGACAACGGATGTCAAACAATGATAAATGTGTATTGCCGTACAATCACAACCTCTGTGCGTTTCACATGTGCAATTTCAACATCACGCAGGTGAAGGCCGGCTGGTTGGAATCACACAAAATAAATGCGCGGAAGACAAAGAGCTTAAAAGCTCTTTTTGCACAGGGTTTTGCCGGCATGGGAAGGGCTTTTAAGCTCTCAGACTTGTTTACTGGGCTCGCAGATGCTCTCATGGGATCTCTCCGGAACTCAGGAGGCTCAGTGAGATCTTGTGAGAGCATCTCAGAGCCTGCAAAGCTCTCCACCTGCCCTAAGAATTGCTATTGTCTTGTTTTCTCTGGGCTCAGAAGCAGGGAGCAGCTTCTAAGGCATTCAAAACTGCGTCAGAGCATACCAGACCTCATCCTGGCCCTTACTGGGCACACAAGCACCAAACAGTTTCTAAGGCATTCTTCAGAAAAACAGCTGGCTTGACAGCCGGACATGCAGTGACAGCATAGGTTTCAAGGACATTTCTGGCTGTTTGTGTGAGACTCCCTCCTCCATGTAAGCGCGTAAATTGATAAGTCTGCAGCTGAAGAACGGTTGGAGTGTTGCAAATGACCTGTTACTGCGAGAAAGTCAAAAAAGGGGCAAGATGATGGGGCATTTTGGAAGCACATCATTCATTGCTAACAAGGAACAGGGGACAGTCTGCCAACCAAACAGAATCAAAACGCATGGAGTGGAAGAACTTTTAAGAGAGCAAATATTGTGCCTTGCATTTTTGAAATCCTTGATGTCTGACCATGTCTCCTCCCCAGCATACATCTGGCTATTTCCCCTCAGCGACTCTCCACAGTGCAGAAGCATCTAAAATAATACCAAGTCCCTGGTTCAGTGCTTGCTCTTCAAAGACAGCCCTAGCATTACTTTCTGCCAGAGGGTTTGGATGCAGCGGCAATTCCTTTCATCAGCTTCTTCATTCCTTTGCAAAAAAATGAATGAATTTGTGTGGACTAGAGAGGAGGGCTGTCCATTCAGCTGGATCAGGGAGCAATACAGATATGGAAAGCTTAGAAATCTACAAGCCATAATGGTTCTCCATGGACGGAGGCAGCACTGCCAGACCTTCCAACATTTTTCCAATGAAAACTGGGATGTCCAGTGCTATTTTTCTAGAAAAAGGGGTGCTGGAACTCAGCATGAAACCTCCTTTGTCCTCTCAGAATGGCAAAGGCATCCACCTGAGAGATGCTGGAACTGAGATTGGGTGAGTTCTGGCTGTAGAAAAGCCCTGGGAACGTCCTATTCCATGCCCTCCAACATTGCTCTGATGAAAATAGGGACATCCTAGGGAAAAGCAGGACGTTCTGGGATCAAATCAGAAACTGGGATGGCTTCTATAAATCTGGGACTGTCCCTGGATTTGAGAGCCAATGTGGTGTAGTGGTTAAGAGCGGTGGACTCGTAATCTGGGGAACCGGGTTCGCTTCCCCGCTCCTCCACATGCAGCTGCTGGGTGACCTTGGGCCAGTCACACTTCTCTGAAGTCTCTCAGCCTCACTCATCTCACAGAGTGTTTGTTGTGGGGGAGGAAGGGAAAGGAGAATGTTAGCCGCATTGAGACTCCTTCGGGTAGTGATAAAGCGGGATATCAAATCCAAACTCCTCTTCTTCTCTTCTTCTGGAGACCTGAAGAGTCTTCGGTGCTTCTGAAACCCAGTTGCTGCAAACCATGGGAGGAGTAGGAGTTCTCTTGCCCCCAGGTGCTGCTTGCAAGTCTCCTCCAAGCATCTTGGTTTGCCACAGTGAGAACAGGATGCTGGACTAGATGGGCCATAGGCTAAGGTTACCAGATTTTTTTCAATGAAACCGGGGACACAATAAATAAATAAATACTACATGTTCGGGAAGTTGATGCTGCAGCGATGGCAGTGGCAGAGAGGCAGCCGCTGTCTTAACCTCAACCACCACTTTTCCCCCTTCCTCCAAAGCTTCTGTCTCCTTTCTCTATAAGCCTGGGCAGCCCCTGAGTTGTTGGTTCTTCGGTGGTGGTGGAGAAGTGGTGCGTGGTGGGTCAGGCATGGAAGGTGGAGAAGGAGGGCCGAGAGTGGCGGCTCAGACAGCACGATGCCTCCCTTCCCATCGGAGCAGCCCCAATCCCATTCCTACTTGCGTGCAAGCAGGAGGGGGCGGGGATCCCTCAGCTGGGAAGGGAGCCTTCCCGTTGCCTAACTGAGAGATCCATGCCCCCTCCTGCTTGCATGCAATCTCGGATAGGCAGCATGAAGCCTCCCTTCACAGCTGAAAGATGCACGCAAGTAGGAGTTGGGAGGCTGCTCCAATAGGCAGCATGAAGCCTCCCTTCACAGCTTAGTTGCTGGGGTCAGGGAAGGTGGAGGCATCCCGGAAGCTGCATCTTCGAGCCCCTGCACCACCATCATCTGGGGACTTCTGAGCAGCTCCTCAAGCCAGCCAGAGCCAACTCCTCCGGGCTGCTGAGACTGCCGCGGCTGCATTTCCCGGGGACATTAGATGAAATCCGGGGACATTCCAGGGATGGAATTTGCCCGGGGACTTATTCGCAAATCCAGGGACTGTCCCTGGGAAACAGGGACGTCTGGTAACCCTACCATAGGCCTGATCCAGCAGGCTCTTCTTATGAGTAAAACAAAAACCTTTACCCTAACCCAATTCCAACCATCAAATAAATGCACTGAGAGGTGCAGAGTTGAGCAGAACTGATTTTGTACAGAGTATGCATCATGGTAAAACAGGCCTGACCCAGGGGCAGAAGTGAAGGAGAGAAGGGGAGGCAGTGGCTGCTCCAAGGCCCCTCTCCTCCCCTGGGCTGCGGATGTGTGAGAGAGCTGTGGAGGCAGTTCCCTCACACGGTGGCCCAATGCTGGCAGCTGGCTGCAGCTTCACTCCCGGGTCAGGCCCGACCCGGGGGCAGAAGCAGCAGGCTCCGGTGCACGAGGGCATCACCCAACAGTGTGCCCTGCCCCCTGGCATGCCTTGCCCACCCACCTCCAACACATGTGAATGCCCCCCGACTTGCACCTATCCTGGGCGGCAATAGAAGATGCTAGGCCTTTGCTCCTGGCCCCACTCCTGCCTCTGATTCTTGTGATAAGATTTTTTGTTAGTTTCCAATTACAACCCGATAATAGCCTGATTATAACAATGCCAAATTATAATAGCATTACCAATACCAATCATTCAGATACCAAATAACACAATTAAAATGTGCGTGTCGTCCCCCCAGGCGTGCTAGAAATTGATGGTTTGATGATTCACTTTATTTCTGTATTCCAAAATCTTATTAATTTCAATTACACTCTGGTCAAAATAACAATCCCTTATACAACAACTGCAATATTAATAACTTCTATTCGTGTTGACACAATAAATCATTTATAATACTACAAGTGAGGTGCTCAAACAATATCCTTGTTCTTCCTATGTGTGGCAGTTGTTCTGTCCGTGATGTTTC